GAATAGTGAGCATCTAAACCATATAGATTTGTGATCTCTGCTGTTTTCTGAAGTTTTAGTTAAATAATTTTTACTTTTGATTTTTTAAACAAATTTGACGTGGAGTATTGCCTGTGGTGATTGTTGCTTCAATATTTGCAATCAGTAAGATTGGTGGATAAGTAGCACTCACAAATCGAGGTGTTGAAAATGAACGTTGACCAGCACATACAGCATAAATACTATAAAGCTAGAGTTTTTTTTATCTTGATAGGTTACTTTTCAATACAGTTTACCCTGACTCGTCTAAATTTTTTTCATTTTTCATGATTTTTATTTTCTTTGAAAATTTTAACTCGGAATACTTTGCAACGGGGAAACAGCAGACTTCAGTTCGATGGAGTCACATAAAACCCCTTGGAGCCCTAGAGTCCCGAAGTTCTGAAGTTTGCTATTTCTTTCTTAAACTGATCTGCTTGAAAAGTTCTTTGGATAGAAATTGTCCAAAACAATTCCCAAAACGGAACAATATTACTCAGTACCCGGAAGTTGTGTTTCCAAAACAGAACAAACTCGCTCTACCTTGAGAATACAACTTCCGGGTACTGAGTAATATTGTCAAGTGGAAAATGACGGACTCCGTTTCCATGTAGTCACTTGAAGTTCCACGGAGTCATGCGGAGTCAAGTGGAGTCATGGAGTCTGCTGTTTCTCCCTTGACTGCGATAGACCGTCATGTTAAAGTTGGGTCTATCACTGTTGTGTGTAAGGCAATTGTGAGTAAGACAATTGTGTGCAGACAATTGTGTGAAAAACAATTATGAGAACAGACAGTTGTGTGTAAGACAATTATGAGAACGGACGGCTATGTGCATGGACGTCGATCAATTTTCCTTGAAAGTATTTAAACGAGTGAGAATAATAGAAGATATCCATTTACAATCATTTAAAATTCACTATCATATAGATCACATTGAAAGTACGAACACATCATGTCAATTTTATTTTCTGAAACTGAAAAAGGCAAGCCAGTTCTGATTGAGAACGGTTTTGATTACATTCAAGAACGTGCTCATGAAAATAAAATATACTGGCGATGTATTTGATTAATCTTTGTTATTTTGTTTACTTTTTTTCCTTCATTGTCTTTCACTTTTTTTGACAAAAATATTTATTTGCACATACACACACTCATTTTGCACACATTTATCTGCACACAAACATCTAACACACAATTGTCTGTTCACACAATTTTCTTGCACACAATTGTCCATACACACAATTGTTTGCACATAATTGTCTTACACACAACAGTCGTGCTACCGTTAAAGTTGTACCTGGACATCTGCTGACATATCTGATATAGACAGTAATTCTTGCATCAACTTTAAATAGCATACGAAGTGTTCCTCATTCAATCGACAGTCAAACGAAGCATGCAACAATCGTTTTCTATTTTCTTATTGACATTGAAATTGTTCTTTTATGTTTTCTTTGGCACTTTCTGTATCTCACAAACCACACTTCTACAACAATCTCTATTTTTTGGATTAGATATCCACTAAACTGACACTCAAAGACAAACAGTTTGAAAATTTGGATTGCGATTTGGATACTGAGTTTTACTTTTTGGTTGACTTTTGTCATAGAATCTCATTTAAGCGCTTGACTTCAGTCAGTGTGTAGTTTTTATCAAGTCTCTTCTCTGTAGAAAAAATATGATTTAATTTGATTCAACGCTAAATCCTATTTCTATGCCTTACATTATCAATAATCACGATGATCTTATTCTAAATTTCGAAATGCTTTACTCGTAGCAGGAATCTCTATGAGCAGCAAAGAGCCTTTTCGCATATTTATAACCATAGTGATTAAATTTTTGGGTATCGAATACCAGAATTCGAACTATATTCCATTTGAAACTAGCGGGTAGCTGAGATAAAAGTAACCCATTTTGTTTTCTATTTTTTCGAAAGACTTTAAAGTAATTTTGAAACATGTCGTTAAACTGATTCCGTGTTGAATATGTTTCTCTAGAATTTTGAACAATACGTTTCCCAAGTGAGACCATCTTATTCACATTACGTCCAAAGCATGAACGTTGTTCTATCGTTCTGGTGTGAAGGATCGAAATGAATGTAAAAAAATTTAACTGTTACGAAGAGTTCCACGAAAATTTTAACCACGCCATAATTCTTCTTGTAAGAGTTCCCATTTTTCATTACTGATCTCAAAATGTGATAAGTAATATTTGTCAGAAAAAATTCGCAGCTAAACAATGAAAGACATCGAAAGCCAGTTTTCTACCAAATTATTTTTATGCCACTCTAAATCATTGCAATCATATAATACAGTGTTCACTGCTAAACTTGATGTTCACATCGAAATTTTTGGAATCAAACTGTATGCTCTAAGAATGAATATGTGAGGCTAGTCTGGAGGTTTTACCAGGTGAAGAATTATAGACGAAAGCATTTGAGAGCAGCTAGTCATAAATAAAGAAAGGAAAATTTTCTCTAGATTCAAGTGACTTTCATTTTTGCACTTCATTTGATGAGAATAGGGCTATCATTGTTGATACACCTCAGAAAAACACGAAATTACTCTAGGATTATTAACTAGAGGGTAATTCTTGTCATGTTACTCTGAACGAGATGGTTTCATTTCAGACAAGAAGTTGTCAATATTTCATAACGATAGATTCTACGATAGATGGAACCAGTACTGATACGCATGGGAGACTCAATTATATTTCAGTCTGTTACCAGTGAATCAGCCATAGTCAGTCTGTCACGTTGTTTAGAGTGTGTCGATTATTTGGCTTTTAGTCAATCCTGTTGATAAACTATACATTTGTACAATGCTAAAGTATACTTGCATTCATCTAAAAAATCAGTGAAAGCGAGCTCACTTTCATTGGTTATCGAACAATTAGGTTATGAAATGATTCCGGCAAGCCTTTGAAAGAAAATATTGTTATCGTTAGTAACATATTGGATCATTGTAAAGGTAAATTTTTAATGAGAGTCAGTTCATTGAGACTTGGCTACAAAATTTGATACAACACCATAGTATTCCAATCGATGCCACTTTTACATAGAAAACCCGATAACCATCTCAGTGAAGCGCAAAAGCGTTATTTATAAGAAAAGTTTCAGTTTACATAATGGTAAGCTCATGCATTTTTAAAAGCTGTTCTTAGGAGTTAAGCGTATTTTTCAAGTTTTAGCTCTTAGAAATTCGTCTTGTTGAAAAGCCAAAATTTTTCAATTAAGAAGTTCTCTTTCCAGTAGGATTAAGTCTCCATATAAAAAATATTGCTTTTTCAATTCTTGAGTGTGAAAATCTCATGAATGAATAGCGAAAACCTCTCTCAACAACTGCTCGCGTTTTAGATAGAATCTAAAAAAGACTTAAGCCGCACTGGAAGCCAATATTAGGAGAAACAATCTAAATTTTCATTCTAGATCATTGTACACGGCCTATTATCCTTGAGCATCAGCATCACCTGAAATAAACCTCTAATCGTTGAAATGCTTCAATCCTAGACAAACCATTCGAACTCCTATAATTTCTTGATTGAAAAAGATTTCATTTTAATTCTAAATATGTTGCTCATAGACTGCTCTACTATCGATACGTCAGTATTAACAATACAATAGCCTATCACCGGAAGACTAAATAATTCAATTGTTGCGCGACTTTGACTGAAGTTTTCAGATCAGAATAAGTACTGCTCGCAGCAGAACTATAAACCAGTTGCATCCAATTATGAAATCAACATGGAAGAATCTTGACGACATACTTCAGTATTACTTTAAAAGCTTTCGAAAAGAGAGAAAACAAAATGAGTCGATTTTATCGTAGCTACCCAGTAGTTACAAAGGGGATACAATTCGAATTCAGGTTTTTGGAGGCCTAAAAATTTAATTACGGTGGTAACCAAAACGCGAGAAGGCGCTTTTGTAACTCATAGATGTGGCTTTAGCTTTCAACCTAGCACAACATATATACACGATAAAGTGATTTCTTTCTACGAGTAAAGTTTTTTCGAAATTTAGAATAAGATCATCGTGATGATTGACGATGTAAAACACTGAAAAAGGATTTAACGTAAAATGAAATAAAAAAAATATTCTCGTCATACAGAAGAGATCTAATAAAAGTGGCACTTTGACTAAAGTCAAGCGTTTCAATGACGTTCTATCACAAAGTGAAACCCAAACGATCTGAGTTTGTTGCATTCCTATTGAAGGTATGTAACAACTCTAAATTAAGCAAGACTTTCTTTGCATTTGTGCGAAACTCGCTCGTAAACTTTCTTTTTCTTTAATATGTATATCGAGTTTATCCTGTCAAAATATCGCATGTAAGTATGCACAAAATCAATAAATGAAATTAATCATAATGTTAAATGTATTGAGAAACATATTTTTTAACAATGCTGGTGAAACCCCAGTGCAAAACGTGCAAACTTGAGACATGCATGCAAAAACTATAAAAAGAGTCCCATTATTAACAATATTCTGTCTTACTCAATACGCATGAAATTTCTGTGTATGATTTATATAATCTGATCCATTGTCACTAAAACATTAATTCTAGTTCTTTTCCTTTGCAAAAGCTCAGAATTTGATTATTATGATGCAAATCTAACCTACTGTGATCGGATTATTAGCTCCACTTCCTTTTTTCACCATGATTTGAAAGGTGAATATATTTATTTTTATTCGATCCACTGGGTTCGAACGAATTATTGCATGCCCCCTATCATCACTACAAGAGCGTAAAAAGTAAGATATCATGGATTCCATCCTTCGTATCAAATCGTTAGTAATGCATTGCATATTTAAATGCATTTTCTTGGTAATCGTATTTCATTCATTTCGTTCGTGTTTTTTTGCTTGATATCTTGTTAGGTTCGTGCTACTCATTGTATTGCCATATTTTATTGGTAATTCAGAATGTACCTAATACACTTAATCAGAATGAATGCAATAAATTATACCTTATATTTCGTCATGTTCTTACGTCTGTTACCCGTTGCATCATATGAAAATGACGCTGGAAGTTACAGTCCTTCATTTGAGCAACAAGTGATCGAGGAGCACCTTAACGATGGATATTGGATTGAAGCTTTCCAACCTGACGACCAAACTCCTACTGGACTCATCAGTTATGGACTCTCTCGTGGAGAGGTCAAGTTCTATTCAAATCCTCACACAAATATTGAAAAAGTCAAACCAATTCTTATCCAAAAGCTTATTACTCCTGTTGCCATGGGCCAGGCTGATATTTCAGGTGACGGATATAAAGACATCATTATCTGCTTTGACTATGGAAATACAATAATCGACTTCAATCCTAACGGAGGACACATCGTGTGGTTAGAAAATCCCGGAAAGGAGATTGGTACAAAACAGTGGAAACAGCATTATGTTGGAAGATCACCGACAATGCACAGACTTAAAGTTGGTCACTTCACTCAAACCAAACATTGGGAGATTATAGGTCTGCCTGTCGTAAATGGACCATTTGATGTGTCAGTACCAGTGTTGCTATTTCGACAGCCTGATAATGTGCTAACTGCCAAAGTATGGGATTATGAAATTATTGATAAAGATTATTTTCATTTAATTCATGACGCTGAAATGTTTAAGGTTCATTTGTTAGATCAACTTCTTATTGCATCACGAGAAGGTCTTACTTGGCTTTACTTTAAGGAAGACTCAACGGAGTGGATTATTGAGAAAATTGCCGATGGTGAACAGAAAGACAAACAGCAGACAAACTATTATGGCAGTGGCGGTGTTGATATTGGAAAAGTTCAATCCAATATCCA